TTTTTCAGAAGGATAAAATTTTAGGCCAGAAGAACCATGAATAGCAGTTGGTGCCCTTGGTCCGTCTCTCTTAAGGAGAGATTTCACAATGGGCCATATACTCTGAGGTGTGACTTCAGCGTTACCTATTTTTGTTTCCCACCGTTCAAGTGCCTTTTTACGGGTCATTCGCCTGATTGATTTGGTGACCCCATTGACTGCCGTTTTACATGATGGATCCCTGGTTTCTCGCCACAGTTTTCGTAGCCTCTGTTTATATTTTATCAAACGATCTAGACCAGGAAGATCGTTGTTTATGTCCGAAAGTGTAACTTTACTTGTCGACAGCCTACATTCCGAAGCAATAGAGGCTGCAAAGTCGCGTGCCGCTTTATCGGCTTCTACCCCCGAATTAATTTCTAGTTTAGGTGATCTTAATTCAGAAGCAATGTGACATTGCGGCCAGCACTCGTATTTATACACCACTCGATGTCCAGCCCACCTGTAGATCATCACGTGCGCTAGCCAATCAGCGCTCACAATCGCAACTGCAACTTTAGCTCTGCCCAACAAGCATGGTATGAGTACAAAAGGCGGAGCTCAAAACTCGCAATGATCATGGAGACCTGGTGTGAGCGCTGGTATATAAAAATTAATGAAGATAAGACCCAGGGGGTCTATTTCTCTCGTGGCCGTCGACCGCCAGAGTCTTTGTCTTACTCTAAATGGAAGAAATATTCCATTTGTAAATAGTGCAAAATATCTAGGTGCAATCTTCGATAAGAGAGTGACATGGAGATTACACATAGAAATGATCGAAGCCAAGGCCTTCAGAACAATCATTAGAGTGTATTCCCCATTCAAAAGTGTGCGATTGAGCGCTAACATTAAACTGACCCTCCACAAAGCTCTCATTAGATCCGTAATGACTTATGATAGTCCCGCCTGGGAGTTTGTGGCAGACACCCATCTAGTGAAATTGCAGCGCCTGCAAAACAAGATTCTCTGCACCACTGGCAATTTCCGAGGCGCACACCGGTCCGCGATTTGCACATGGCATTCAAAATCCCGTACATATATGACTTTAATAAAAAATTA